GATCAGAAGTTCAACGTTCACCTGCTTGGACAGCCAGAGCTCAGAGCTTTCTTCATGTCTCTGAAAGAGAAGACAGACAGTTCACCACTGGACAGTTGGACAGTTTCACTGACCTCAAAAAGACAAGTCACGGTGTGTGTGTGTTTCCCGACAGACGACATAATAAATCCTTCACTTTTCTGTTGATTCATTAAAAAAAAAAAGAAAAAGCCACGAGCAGAGAACAGTGTTCTGGCAGGGCCCGTGGACTGGGTCTGGTCCAGAGCTGTGGTTACAGCAGGAAAAGTGAAAACTGCCAACAGTCTTACAGTGTGTTACATTGTTACAGTGTAAAAGGCGTCCTTTAACCATGTCTGTGTGATTTACATTAGCAGAAAGAAACCGTTTGGAGAAGAGAAGGAGAACAACTACAGAGAACAATAAAACTCTGACCAGAAGTCCTTAAAAAACTGCTGAAGGTTGAATTTAAAAAAAGATGCTCCGTTAATGACAACCTGCTGATGGAGACATTTTCACTGTTTAAATAAAGTGTTTGTGCAGAAGGGAAAACTGAACCCACCTCTCTCTCTCTCTCTCTCTCACACTCACACACACACACACACACAGTAACTCACCGTGTGGCTGGCTCCTGTGGTTGTGTCACACACAGTCAGGAAGGAAATGTTCTGGGCTCGGTTCAACCACCTCACAGCTGTCTTGGTTTTGCTGATCCACTTCACCATGGTGACGTAATGTTCTCTGTCGCCAAGAAATGGAAAATATGTAAAAACAACCGTTTGTCTGTGTTTCTTAAAAACTGGGGAGAAATTAATCTTGTTAATCCAAAAATCTGTCGTAGATGAAGATTAGGGGTCGGTGACCTCTGATCGTCACACACAGGGGTCACACGTAGGGATGTCCGATAATATTGGCCGACAACACAACACCTGTGGTACGCCAAATGAATAGTTCCCCAAAATTGTTTTGGAGAAAAATGGCTGTATATGAAAGTGAAAGCCACTAGATGGCAGCATTGCAGGTGCCAGCAACTAACTTAATTAATTAATTAATTAATTAATTAATATTACCAGGTGCTCAATATTATCAATATCAGCACATCGGCAAAGAATTTTTATCGGACATTCCTAGTCACACTTGTGAACGGCAGCTACTTGTGTTTCTTTATTCTTTGACTCTGTCTTCTGCCTGAAGACGTCTCTGTCTCCGTCTCCGTCTTTTCCAGACGTGTCAGGTTTGACTGACTTTTTCACATAAACAATGTTATTTCTCTGAACCTGCAGCAAAGCTCTGGGGAGGACAGCTCAATCCTCCATGAGTCAGTCAGTCAGAACAGGCAGTACTGGTGGGTG